AATATTAAGTCAATGGAAAATGGAAATATACTTTTTCCAGTTTCTAATACTAGGAGAAAATATTGTACCATGTCTTTTAAATAGATTGTAAGTCAAATATACAGTATAAATCTTAAAACAAAAATTAAGATTAAGCAATATTCAGAAAATTAAATATTAATTAAAAATTAATGTTTCAAAACAATTGAACTAAGGAAAAGTTTTCATGATAGTAAATAGTTACTAAGAGTAAAACATAAGATAAATACTGGAATGGCAAATAAATGATCAGCACTTCTTACAGTTTGTGGATAGGATATTCCACAAATTTGTAGTGTGACATGGACATGGATAATGTCCATAACACTTACTCGTGGGCAGGTGCACTTGTAGGACTGAGCTACTGCTATTTCCTTGATATCCACTCTGTAGACCTGGACAGAATCATGACCCATAGGGTGCAGAGAAGTCCATTTGTAGAGTATGCTGATGGAAAAATCTTGCTGCTGTATACAAAAGAATAACTGAAAGATTGTTTTTTTTATACCTCCTATTCTCCTGTGTTTAATTGTTTGACCTTTTTGGTGGGTTCTTTCCATTCTAATTCATGGAGTTGTGGTCATTTTGCTGCCTCTCTAGGACATCTTTTAGTAGTCTGTGTAGGTTTGGCTTTGTCATCATGAAATCCTTAAATTTTTCTTTGTCATGGAAATATTTTACTTCTCCATTGTACTTGAAAGAGGTTTTCAGGATATATCAGTCTGGGTTATAACTTGTTTTCTTTTTTTTAATGAGCAGAACATATTTATTGAGAGAAAGAAAACTCCTGTCCAAGAGAGGGACAGGAGGGGGGCCCTGAGCAGGTAGTTCCCTATAATCTTTTTCCTTGCAGGGCTTGTATTACTTTGCTCCATGCTATTCTTGCCTTGATGGTTTTTGAAGAGAAATCTGCTGTTATCCTGATGGATTTTCCTGTAAACGTGATCTGTTTCTTTTCTTTAGTGGCCTCAGGTCTATTTTCTTGCCAGTACCATACTGATTTTATCACAGTAGCTTTGTAGTATAATTTCAAGTCAGTGATCCATGATGTAGAGTGTGCCTAAGGAGAGTCACATGGAGAGAAAACATTCTTTCTGGCTTTCACAGAGAGCAAGTTGGTCAACCAATGGCCATGACTCATCCACATGACTGACACTCACAAAAGATATACAAACTGTGGTACAGGGTTTCAGGCTAAATCCTGAGGGGATTTGACTGACCTTATCAGACACAAATTTATATTACTTATTATATAAGTCTTGATTTGTCTTGCTCTTGACCATCCAGCAGAGAAATGTGGGAATGGAATATAGAGGGTAAAGCCATATTAATGTGCTGAGCTGTAAAATGCTCAATTTAACATTGTTTTTTTGGCAGAACAGGGGATTGAACTCAGGCCCTAGTGCTTGGCAGGCAAGCGTTTATTCCACTGAGCCAAGTCAACAACTCTGTCATCACCAGTATTACAGAAAACCCATTACTGTTATGGCTATATTATGGACTATAATGGAATATTTTGCTGAATTCAGGCACCTACAATATTTAAATGACAATGGAATACCCTTCTCTGACAAAACTAAGCAAAAAAGGGAGATACAATTGAATGACCTTTTTGTATCTTTATGTTCAAAATAATTAAGATAGACACACAGCTGCATTCTCTTGGATCATTGAATAGAGAGGCTTGTTCTAATAGTGTTTGTGGACAGAATATCATGTCTGCATCTTGTACAATGAATAACCACTATGATAATCATATGCAATGTATTAATTACTGAAACTGAGCTAGTAATTGGTTTTGAAAAAAAAGTCATAAAAAAGTTCTCAGGAGCAAAGATAAACAGTTTTCTAGAGTTTTATATGGACAATGTCAGGCAGCACAGTGGAATTCCTTCTTATTCATTTTCCTTATTTACTCATTTTCAACAATTTCCATCCAACTCCCCTCAAATTCAAACAAATATTCTGTCTTTTCAGTACGCAATATAGAGAATAAAACTAAAACCAAGAGAGATGGAAAAGCACAGGTCATTGCTGGGCAATTGAGAGTGCATATAGTTCTCTCACAGTTCTTATGAAATGATTACAAGTGTTTACATGATAACCTCACCAGTATACTTGCTATTTCTTGAAACATGTAGTATTCATTTTTTGTTTTTCTTTTTCCTAGCATGATGGCTGGCATATATGAGTTTCAGTAAATGCACACGGGTGCCATGAATGAAAAAAAAAAGAAAGAAAGAAAATCATAAGAGGTGGTCTTTACCCCAACCAGATAAAAGCCATCTATGACAAACCAATAGCCAACATCATACTAAAGAAACAAAAAATGAAAGCTTTCCCTTTAAAATCAGAAGCAAGACAAGGATGTTGACCTTCACCATTACTATTAAATATAGTTCTGCAAACATTAGCCAGAACAATCATATGAGAGAAATAAAAG